GCCGGCGCCCGCCCTGCGCGCCGGCCGCGCGGCCTCCGCAAGGCCGGGCTTTAACCGCGCTCCCCGTGCCCGGGGTCTGCAGCGAGCGGCCGCTCTGCGGGCTGGGGCCTTTCGGCAGCGGCAGGAGGGAGGACGAGGAGGGAGGACACAGCCSCTGTGTTTGTAGAAGGGCTCCCGGGTGCTCCCCGAGCTGCTCCGCGGGGCCCTTGGGAATCCCCGCTGCTCCCGGGCGCAGTTGCGTCACTATTTTGGGGGATTTGCGTCGCTATTTTCTCTCGCAGAGCTTGGTTCTGCTATTTCCCCCTTGTATTTCCTCCTGCTAACCAAAAGCAACCCCTTGGCAGCGAGCGGCTCTCGGAGGCTTCTTTGCAGAGCGCTATTTCATAAGCATTTTCATGAACCCTCCGCTTTGTCCTCCTAATTACCCATCCAATTGGCCCCCAACGGAGCCCTCACCTCTCCTGTGAAGATTCTGCTTGCACAGATTATAACCTGTCAGCTGCCAATTTATTCCTCACGCAGAGGGCAGGTTATATTAATTGTCTGTCTGCTCTGCCCCGCTCGCCTGCCTTCCCCTCTCCCGCTGCCGCAGCATCCGTGTCTCGGGATGCCGATTCTCGGGGCCGGGCAGTGCGGAGCAGCCAGGCGCTCCGTAGCGGATCCTGGTATCCAGGTATCCTGCAGCGATCTGGGGGCCAGGGCGGATGCACCGGGCTGCAGCAGGCCGGGAGAGGGGTCTCTGTGGAGGAATTACCGTGATGGAGCCGTCGGCATTGACAGCAGGACGCTTGACTCCTGCTCCCGCGCGCAGCCGCAGCCAAGACCTTCACAGATCCGTTTGCGTGGCCCGGGCTAATGGGGAGCAGTCCCGGGGGGCAGCCCCTTTCTTTGCAGATCAGGGCTTCGGTTTTGGAAGAGTCGGGGTCCTCCTGCTCCGCTTATGGCAGGAAGATGGGTCGGGAGACGAAGTGAGCAGCTGCTTGTGCCCAGAGAGGAGTTGGGGCGGCCTCATCCCCAGGATCCCGTACGGGACCCCCATCCCGTGCGCAGGCCGGGACATGCAGCAGYGGGGACGGGGACCTGCCAGCGCGGCCGCCCCGTGCTCACGGCGCCGCCGCTCGGATCTCACCCTCTGTAACTCGGTCCCGCTGGGAGCGTCTGCGCTGCCGCCTCCCACGCGGTTTCACTTTGACACCCGTGTCCCTGCCGGTGCGTCCCCGTCGGCGGGGCSTCCCCTCCACCTGCTGCCCGGGCCTTTCCCCTCGCCCGCGCTGGCGCTTGCGCCTTCRCAGCCCCTTTATTAGGCTGCTGCCTCGGACAGCAGGGACTGCTGCCAGCCATCCGCAACTGCAAGGACAAATCAGCTCCAAACATGCTCCAAGTTTCGTCTTTGGCTTGTAGAGCTTTAGAGTTCCTCCAGGACATTGCAGGGTATAAGTAATTACAAATACCCTTCCTTCCTATTTTTCCCATTTATTTATTTATTTTCCTGTACTATGCCTCCCCGCCAAAGTGACCCGAGACAAGYGCCAAGTCAAGAAATCAGTGTAGAATTAAGGCGCCTGCCTACCTTGACAGAGCTAATTGTTTTTAAACAGCTCACGTTTTAACTCTGATGGGTTCAAAATGGTAAAAAATGCTGCAACGTAAAAATAATTAGCAAGCACCGATGCGCACGCTGCCGGCCCTGCTAACGAGCGGCCGGGGCACAGCTCTGCGCGCTCGCGGGCGCGCTTTGCAGACACCCCTGTCGTTATCCCTGTCGGACGGGTGGGAAACGCKGGGCTCGGGAAGCGCTTCCTTCCCGGCTGAGCGGCTCCAGGAGCCGAGCGGAGGTCGGAGCGGAGGCCTGGGCCCATCAGCGGCTCCACCGGGGCTCATGTCCCCGGCCAGCTGTCCCCTGCGGCACAACCCACCTCGGCTCCGCCTGCGTCGGGCTCCCCAGCGCGAGGGAATATTTACTTTGGGGGAAAAGCAGCAGGATTGTGTACAGTTCTGCCGAGAAAAACAAGGCGGGTGCCCCGAGCGCGAGGCCGGGAGGCGGCTGCGCTGCAGCACCGGCTCCGCGCTGGCACCCAGCTTGGGGAAAGAGCCTGTTCCTGCTGCCTGGTTCCCGCAGGGAATGAACCCTCTGGGGGCCTCGTGAACACGGGTTCGTTAGTAGATCCGGGGCTGTTTGTGTTGCAGTAAGTGGCACTGTAGCTGTAAGTGCGGGACCGGGCTTCGCATTTGCTCGGTGGCTTGTGCAACGTAACTGCTTAGCCGACATTGAGAAAAACCACCAACGTTTTAGCAACCTTTTATTTTTTCCCCCTCCATTCTCCAACTGGCTCTGCAAATTTTCCAAGGAAAATGTTTTCAGGACAAAGGAGCAAAAGCGAGCTAAATCCCTAAAGCGGAGCGTTTCCCACATGCCTTTCCCCGTCGGGTTCTCCTGGCGGGTGCCGCTCTGCTCCCGGCGCGGCGTTCCGGGGATCCGCTCCTCCTCTCTCGCGCAGGGAGTCCGCTGCGGTTTAGCAGATCCCCCGCAAAAGCTGCTTCCATCCTACACCGAAATACCACGAGGAGCGAACTTCCTAAAGCCCCGGAGGAGCCTAAATATAGAAGCCAATGCGGGCCTGGCTTCCCGGCGCCGAGAAGCGGCGCGAGCGGCTGCTCCCGCACAAGTTGTGGGCGCCGGCGCTGGAGGGGACGGGGCTGCAGGGGGGCTCCCGGCACAGGGACTGCGCGGCTCCCGGTGGGAATGGTCCTGCTCGGCTCTGGGCTTCCCCCCTGCCCCTGCGCAGCGCCCTGATGGATTTCCCTGCAAAATCCCGCCGAGGGGAAGCAGCGCCAGGGAAGCGCGAGGCCTTTCCCGGGCGCGGGAGCAGGATCGCGGATGCTGGAAGGGCAGAAGCGTCTGCGGCGGCGGGACGGGAGCGGGAAGTGGGAGCAGGGGCGGAGGGTCCCGCAGTGGGGCCATGATCGGGCAGGAAGCGGTGTTTTTGGGGCAGGAAGCCATGTATGATGGGTATGAGCCCGGGCAGGTGCGCACAGGGCCGGTGGCCGCGGCCGAGCGCGGGGTCCCGCACGGGCTCCCGGCGCCGCCCGGCCCTGCCAGCTGGCACCTAACGGCGGCGGCGCGGGCCAGGCGCGGGGCCGTCCCGGCTCGGGGGAGCGCGGATTATCGGCCGGCAGYGCCGCTTCCTGCGCCGCGTTGCCATGGCGACCCTCATTACCTGCCTGCCGGGGAGGCGCTGCTGGAGCCGGAGCCGGCCGGGCCTTCCCTCTGGGGCGCCCGCCAGGCTCCCCCCGCGCCCGCCGGCCCCGCGCCCGCCGCCCCGGCGGCCTCTGCCTCCTGCCCGCAGCCATCAGGGCGGGCGGCGGGGCGGCCGGGCGCGCGGTGCAGCTGGGCCCGCGCCCCCCTTCCCGGCCCGGCCATTCCCCTCTCCATGCGGGCAGCGCAGCCAGGAATGGGGCCGCGCTGGGTGCCCATGAGGCAGGAGCCGCGCTCCGGCGGGCGCGAGGGCAGACAGAGCCGGCGCGGGGATGGCGGCCGTGTGGCGAGATGGGCCCTGGGGCCTCCGCATCCCCGCAGAGGCCCGGGAGCCATGGAGCGCAGCAGGGAAAGCCAGGCCCGGAGAACAAAGATGTCGGCYGGGCCGCAGTGCCCGGCTGGGTGCCCGGGGGCTGCAGCCGGGCCCTGCGCGCCCCGCTCGGCGCCTCGGGAAGGGGCCACGCTGCCCCACGGTGGGAGGCCGCGGAGGGGCCGGCGCCACGGGACCAGCCGGGGCCGCGGGGGCTGCRGGATAGGAGGAGACTGGGAAAAACAAAGGCAGAGGCCGAGCCGGGAGGAAAAGAGGCCGAGAGGAGCAGGAGGAGGCGAGAGATAGCGGGGAGCAGGGCGAGGGGCGGGCGCCGCAGCCGCGGGGCGGCCGCGGAGGAGGCCGGTGGCGGCCTCCCCTGCAAACCGCAGCTCTCCCGGGGCCGGATTCTGCTCCCAAAAGGGTTTGCACCTTCTAGGGGGCACAGATGGCTTCCCAGATACCCCCCTCACCAGAAGGGTATAAAGAGCATCCCATATTCTCATCCCCGAGTGATTTTGTGTTGCTTCCCGAAGCCCTCGGTTTGCACGCCGTCCTGCGGTGCCCTGGGCTCTGCCCTGTGCGTGCAGGGCTAGGGAGCTCTGAGGTWACCCACAGAACCTACATCCCCTTAAACCCTGGTCAAATTTTGGTGATATCAGTTGGTTATTTGGTTACTTGCCAGTTCCAAATGGCAAATGAGATGGAGAAAATGCTGGTGTGGAGCGTGACACGGAGGGGCTATTGCGGTACCCTGAGGCACTGCGATGCAGTCGCTCCGAATGCAAGGGAGAGGTGGGAAACGCGGCAGTGCAAGCACCGGGTATTAGCGAGCTGGTCGGGATAGCCCTGGAAATAGTGGCTTGCATATGGCCTGGGTTACCGGCTTAGTTTGGAGGGCTTTCCTTGCAGCTGGCTGTGCTTTTCTCATGATGCGTTTTCCTTTGTCCTGTTCCCGTAATTATCCTCGTTTCAACCCTGCTCCGAGGATTATTGGTCTGTAGGAAGCCTCCTAATGCCCCTTCCTCCTTGGCAGGGGAATACCCATGGCCGGGATTCGAGTGAGACTCCCGAACGGTGACAGGAGAAATGAGCTGTATGTTCCCCGGGGCCGCCCGCGTGTGCTGCCCAGCGCCCGCCTGGCTGCGGCCGCCGTGGCGCGTGACGCAGGGCTCCTGCTCCTGTCCGGCYGCGCTCCCGTTCCGTCCTGCTGCTGGGAATGCTCTCTGTGCCGAACCGGGGAAGGGCTGCGGAGCCTTCTTTAACACGCAGTGCTTTCCACCAAAACAGGCTTCCCTGGTGCTCCTCAGCAGCAGGACACCCTTGCTGACACCGGCTGTTGAGAGTCCCAGGGCTGGTGACTTGGGAACAGTGTTTATTCCATTTATACAGCACATGAGCACATACGCAGCTCAGTTACCACCAGCAAGAAGCGAGTTTAGGAGGCTGAGTTTTTGCTCCGCGTGCAGCCCTCAGCCTGCACTCGCCGGCGCGTAAACGCACGAGCAAAAGAAACAACAAAAGAAGCTGTTTTATGCCGGGTGACACGCGGCAGCGTTGTGTGCACAACCGGGGCTGCGCTCATGTGTATCTTCTGGGAAAGCAGGCCTGCAAGGGAGGTATCGTGTGTATACGTTTGTATCTAGGTATGTATAGACACGGGTCCACGCAGCAGGGTGGTGCTTTCCAAGGAAGGAGCTGAGCGTCCTGCGCCGCTCGCTGCGCTGACCCCGCAGGCAGTCTGTGCACCRTGCACACCATTCGGGGTCCCGCGGGGCTTTGACATCACGCACAGGCTCCACACACTGCACTAACCCCGCGGGCAGCCTGTGCCCCACACACCGCTCGGGRTCCCGCGGGGTTTAATGTCCCGCACAGGCCCCGCGCGCTGCCCCTGCTCCCTCCCCAGCGAGATCGTCCCCTCTGCAAACACCACCTTTCCCCGCTCGTTTGGGCTCCCCGCTCGCCTCCTTGTTCCTGGCCCAGTTTCCCCAGCAGCTCCAGTAGCAGCAGCAGCAGCAGCAGCAGCAGCCGCCCCTGCCCCGGCCCCGGGAGCCCTGCTGGGTCCCTGCACCACGCGCCCCGGGCCGCCCTCGCCACCCCTGTCACCCAGCGCTGACACTAACGCAACTTGCCTGCACTGTTGTAGGGGGCAGATGGACTGTCGGAGCCCGAGGGCATCTCTCTGAAACGCGTCGCTGTGGTGGAAGATTTCTTTGACATCATATACTCCATGCATGTGGAGAGCTCATCCGAGCCGGGCAAAGCCCCCAAACATGCTGGGCAGAAGAAAACCTACCGAGCGGTGAGACGGCTGCGCGGGGACGGGGCCCACGAGGCGCTGCGCCGCACGCGCGGGACCGCGCGGCTTTCTGGGGCAAAGCCAGCCCGACATGTCTGGGAAAGGAGGAGGAAAGAGGAGAGGAAAGGTCAGRACTGGCGATGGGAGCGGGGCAGCTGCCCGGCGCTCGCGCCCGCTGCTCCGTGCCATCTGCCTCCCTGCCCTCCGCGGCCGCAGGGAGGCGTCTCCGTCCTCCTTGCGGAGCGGGCCACGGAGCGGCAGGACGGAGCGCGGCCCCGAGGAGCAGCCCGCGCTCCCTCTCCTGCGCTACAAAATGGAGGCAGGGGCAGAGCTTGCCAGGTGCTGCACGGATGCTGAGAACCAGCTCCATCCATCCTGAAACCACTCTAGTTAGGTCAGGAATAATTTAGCTCGGAGCGTGCTCCTCCAGGGAGCTTGCTGTTTCTCCTGACTCTGCACAGCACTTTGATGCAAATACTTGGGCTCTCCAGCTTTTATAGGAAGAGCTGAATTTACTGTCGAGACCGGAGCTCCTCTCTGGCGTCCCGCGGCCCTAAGGACCGGGTCGCTTGGAGACAGGAGTGGCTGGCTGGCAGCTCGTGTCTCTGGTGTATTCATCATCCCGGAGAGCTCTGCCGGCTGCCCTGCTCTCTGCAATGATGCCTGAGATTATGCAGGGCTTGGTGAGCTGCCCRGGGCCCTCCGGGGAGGAGCCTGCCCTGCTCTGCTCTGCCCTGCTCTGCTCTGCGCTGCCTGCCCGGCCGCGGGCTCCGCACGCTCAGCGAGCGCCCGAGTGCAGCCCCGCGGTGGACGGGAGCACTGGCAGCCCGTGGGGCGCTGGGCACACACCTCGTGTCCCCTGCATTGCCTGGCTGCACTGCAGCCCTGTGGGACACTGGGCACACACCTCGTGTCCCCTGCAGCACCCAGCTGCACTGCAGCCCCATGGGGCTCTGGGCACACACCTTGTGTTCCCTGCAGTGCCAGGCTGGTGCTGGGCACACAACTCATGTCCCCTTCAGCRCCCACCGCCCTGCAGCCCCGCAGGACCCAACGCACACCCCTCGTGTGCCCCGCGGGGCTGCAGCGCAGGCAGGTGACCTCTTCGCAGTCAGAAGGGCAGCTCCACCAGCCTGACCGTGATTCAGAAACCTCCCGCTCATGTCCCGCATGAGCTGCAGCCCTGCCCCGGTTCCTGCAGCGCAGCTCTCCACAGCGCAGCTCTCACAGCACAATCCGGGCACCCCATGGCCTCCAGGGAGCYGGCTGTGTCCACCAGCCTTCCCGGGGCTGCTGAGGGCGGTGGGACACGGCCCTGCAGCCTCCCCAGCGGGACACAGCCCTGCAGCCTCCTCCGGAGCCGCAGTCACCATGTGGGCAGYGAGAATCCCCCAGGCGGCAGGATGCGGCTCCCGTCCTCGTGCCCCTGGGGTCCCTGTGTGGCCGCGGTGGCAGCTGGGGCCCTGCAGCACCCAGGGAGCTGCCGGAGGCTCCCAGCAGCCAGATCCAGTGGCCCTGGCTGCTTCCTCGCCCTCTCTCCACCATCTCTGACTAGGGAGGCAYTGGAGAGTTTGCCCTTGTCCATGACCTCCAGAGGGAGGCAATCAGAAAGGGAATTTGGATGGGAGATAACTCATCAAGGAAGCTGTCTGCTCTGCAGAGCATCAAATCAGCTGAGAAATAACAACTGCACCACTAAAATTAGCTGAACACTTGGAGCAGACCCCCGGGCCTGCGGGAGCGGGGCCGGGTGCTGCAGGGCAGCTCTGTTGAGCAGGTTCCAGGCCCTCGCGCTGCCAGCGCTGCCGGTGCTGCAGCGTGGCCGAGCCCYGGGCGCCCCGCGAGCTCAGCACGGAGCTGCACGGGGCTGCGTCTGGATGCAGGCAGCCTCCCAGGAGCAGGCGCTGCATCCTCCATTTGAAATGCTGGGACAAGGTCCCTGTCTGAACTTTCTACCCATCTGACATTAACACGCAGAAATTGGGACGATGCTGCCGCTCAGTGGAGAAACCGGCCCTCTCTTCCCCAGCAGTTCAGCTCGCTGAGCTCTGTTTTAGCTCTTGGCCCGCACACCCTCTGCCCTTCGCCCCATCCGCTCCTGCAGAGTTATTTCCTTCTTTTTAACAAGCTTAAACTTTACTCTTCTGGCTTTCCCGTGGGCTAGAAAGCTGCTTGCAATTTCTATTTTATTATAGTTCTTGTTACTAAATGAGGTGGCAGAGGAGAGGCCATGAGGTGTCCGGGGCTGCCTGCCTGGCTCTCGCTGCTCCCGGGGGTTCTGCGTGCAGCTCTGCCCCGCTCCGAGCTCTGCTGCAGCTGCTGCGGCTGCTGCTGCGGTGCCTGCAGCCCTGCGCAAAGCACCAGGATCTGCCTGCGCTGACCCGTCCTGGAGCTGCGAGCACCAGGCCAGGACAAGCTGCTTAGAGCAAGCAGGGAGGGGACCCAGCGAAGGAGCCCACTCCCCTCGGAAGGGGCAGCCCCTCCAGCCCGCAGAGCCTTCAGTAAGGGCCAGGTGCCTTTGCTAATGAGGCTGGGGGTATTCCACGAGCTCTTGGGCTGCAGCAGAGCCTGGTGAGGTTCCCTGGCTTGTGCTCTGCAGAAGGTCAGACTAAACCCTTTGATGGTCCCCATGGCTTTAAAAAATCTTTAAAATTATTTCCCCCTTTCTGCAAAGAGTGTAGACTCGGTTTCCAGAAGTGCTCTGAGCTTGCTGCTATGAGGAATTAGTTGGAATAGCAGAACTCCAGGTATGTTATCCAGATACTTGGCTCTGGGTATAGGGCTTAAGTTTAGGCATCCAAGTTTTAAAAACTTCTCCTTTAGCTGTTCCTCATCCATAAAATACCAGAGACACTTGCCTATCTCATAGGTTCAGGGAGGGAGGTTTAGTTCATTACTTTTCAGAAAAATGTTTACAATTCCCTGGATAAAATATGTCACAGAAATGCAAAGTATTATTAATAATAATTGATTGCCATCGTGGGAAGAAGTGCCCTGCCCTTAGCAAAGATTAATGGATTCTGCAGGTTATCGGGATGGTGGTGACTAACAACAGAAACAGAACTGAGGAGACCTTACTTTCTGCTTTGATTCCTACACATCCATAGCTTTGCTGTCAAACTCGCAAGGAGGAAGAGAAAGGAGGCTCTGGGAGGCAGAGGAGGCTCTGGGAGAGGCTCTAGGAGAGGCTCTGGGAGGCAGAGCCCACAAAGGCACATGGAGGGTTTGCGTTTTCGTGCAGTCTCCGCTGCTCCGCGTGCCGCTCGCCGTCCCACGCGCTGAGCGGGGGTCTCCACACTCCCCACGGCCCCCGTCCCAGCGAGCGGGGGGCTCTGCGGGGCACCCACGTCCCCTGCGCAGGGTGGGACGCGGCGGCTGCCACGCGCCCCGGCCACCCTCGTGCTGCTCTCCCGGCAATGGCCCCGCTGTCCCCGCAGATCGCAGAGACCTACGCGTTCCTGCCCCGGGAGGCCGTCACCCGCTTCCTCATGAGCTGCACCGAGTGCCAGAAGAGGATGCACTTCAACGCCAACGGGCTGGAGCCCAAAGGTAGGGGCCCCGCGGCGCGGGACACCCGCCCTTCAGCACATAGGTCTCCCCAAATGYGTCTCCCAGCCTGTGTTGGTTTTAATGCACTTCTGTAGCAGAGCTGGAAGAATTTTCTGAAATATGATTTATTCATTGCTGTTTAAGCAGCCTCTTTTCTCCGCTCGGAGAATGGAAATGGGCTGATGAGTTTAATTTTGCTTCTGAGCCAAGAGTTTCCCTTCTGGGTGCACCTGCCCCCAGGCAAGGTAACAAAGCCTGGGTCAAAAATATTGCGGATGTGTCTGCAATCACCTCATAATTATGTGTGGGCGGACTGGGAAAGTGTGACCTGAAGTTTTCCCTTTAAACTATGAATTTGTAGTGGAAGAAGCTGAATATGTCTCAATAACTCAAGTTTTGGATAAAGAAGTGTGGAATAATCAAAGTTATGTCCAGGAATGCAACCACTTACCATGTCACCTGTGGTATTCAGCTCATTATGGTCCTTTGTAAGCTGAGCTGATGTACAGCTCCTAGGGTCTCAACACAGTATGAGATGGGACCGAGTCTCCTGCAAGAGTAAATGGTTAAAGGTAATGGGATTTTTTCTGAACTGCAAACTAATCAAGTGCAGAGCATCAACCTGACTCTGAGAACTTTCCCTCAAACAAATATCCTCCTTTAAAAATACATAAACAAATCGCAGAAAGTTAGAATATTTCATAAGTGATATGGCAGAAACAGAATTATCAAATAGGGARGCAGAATTAAATGAACTAAGGACCCAACAAGAGGGAATTGCTGCTCTTTCCATTATTTGCTATTAGGAGCAGACCTCTGGACAGCCTCGAGGTTTCATTACGTGCAGGATGTGTGCCAGTTATCCATAGCCATTCACTGAACAGCTGTGCTTGTTAGGTTTCTTAGGAACTCTCCCCAATAATCAAATAATCATTTGGGACGCTCGTTAGCCCAAGCACCATCCCAGCAGCTTCCCTGCCCTGCCTGTGAAGGGCCCGGTCCCTCTTTCAGGTTAGGGCAGGAGAAATTCCGTCCTCGGCCTCGCTGGCAGCAGGACCRCGGCCGCCCCGAGCGCCTCTTGGTGCTTTTGGGGAATGCTGGCCATGGAACTTGTCCCCTGCCAACTCCTTAAAAATAAACCAAACGGGAAAGAGGAAAAAAAATCTCACACACACCAACTCCTGCTTCGTACCCACCAGCAATGGAGAGCCCCAAATACCTTCCTGCTCTGCGTATTGCTTAAATAGCGACCTGTGGAAATGCGTGAAGTTGCTTAGGTAAGGAAGCTTTTATTGGGAAACAGCGACTATTTTCACTAGTACATTTAGAGGAATTTACTTGGAGCAGGTCACCTAAAAATGTTGGGAACATTTTTAGGTAGAACATTTAGGTAGAACATTTTCCATAGGAAAAACGCTTAGTTGTATTAGCACATCCACACCTCCACACAAACCTGTGGAGGTAAAGCTAACTCAGCAGGATGGGAAGAGTGAAGAATTCCCGTCTGCTCCTACTTCTCTCGTCCATTAAACAAATCTCAACACACTTGGTTTGTGATCAGGAAAATCCCTAATTAAACATATCTGACATCAAACCCTGCAGGCCACCAACGTAATTTGTAAGAACAAATTATCTTGCTCATTGGAGGCTTTGAACAACACTGGACTTCACAGCGATTTCTTAGCTCTATTATTGAACTAGGAGTAATTCCAGAGGAATTATACGAGCATGGAATTAGGATTGAAACTGTTTTGTTTCAAGCCATTCTGCCCGAGTGTTCCATCTGTATTGCCAGCATGTGGGGCATGTGATAAAGTTAACTTTTTAAAGATGAGGTGAATGATGACAGTAGCCTCCTTTTGCTCTGTAGGATGTGGCCAGTTCCCGTGGAGTCCCCAAGGCCCTTCAAAACAAAGGTTTTCATTCTCTTCCAGCTAAAAATACGTCTTTGGCTTTTAGGCTCATGTTCTTATCTCTTGTCGTTACCCAAATTCACAGGGAATTTGTTGTTGCTAAAGGATGTCGCGCTCTGTGCTCCTCTGTCAACCTGGGCTTGCTTTGGTGGCCGGAGGCTGCAAGTGCAGCCGTGCAGGGCTTTCCAACGTGCAGTTTGCCATTGCCGTGCAAGGAACAAGTGGAAGTTTCAAATTTCTGTTGTCACGCGCTAGGAAAACGTCTTTTGGGGGAAAAAAAAATCCCCTTGGTTATCAGCTTGTGCTGCTGCACGGACCCAGTGCAGTCAAAGGTTTCATTGATTCAATGATGTGGCTTCGTTCCCTCTGATCTCCTGTTGCTGGCTTACTTATTTGATCTTGGGGGTGGACTGAGTTGCTTTTCATCGCGTTTGGCCAACTTGTGAAAATCTTTGTCCGTGGGAGCCTTTCCTCCCTCACCGCAGAGCTGGGCTCTTGTAGGCACTGGGGTTTTAGCGCTTTCAGTCACAAGATAACATCTTTGCAAGTAGAATAATGGGTTATTTTGTGTGCTTATTGCATAGAGACATAGAAGTGCTCTTAATCTACAGGCCAAACATGACAGAGAGAAGCGATAAACAGTCCTGAGAAAAGAGGAGAGGAGTTACAAGATTCCCAAGTTTACAAGATTCCTAAATGCTTTCCACCTTTGTATTTGACTGAGCTGATGGTCAGGGGAGCTCTGGCCATCCCTTTCCATATCCAGATGCCAGAATGCTTCGGATGCCCAGGAATGAGCTAGCAGCACCTGGAAATAAGCATGCTAGTTCCATGGCCTTAACTAGGCTCCTGATGCAGAAGATTTGCAAAAACCAATCTGATGTTTGTGCTGTTTAGGTCAGTTGCAGASCATGTTGTTGGTTCAGGTCATTTCCTAGGGACACAGGATCTGGTGTCTTGGGAGGCGCGAGGCTTCCTGGGGACTCCCGAGTTTCGCCGGTTTTGGTACTCGGCGTTTCCGAGCAGCAGCCCCGGATGGTGTTACGGGTTTTCCAAAGTGCTGTAAAACCCTCAGTGGAGGCTCTTTCTAAAGGCAGTGCCAGAAGTGCTGCGAAACTCGGAAAATGCCAGCGCGGCAGCGAGGTTCAGAGCYGGGACGGAGCCTCCCGCCAGCAGCTCGCCCCCAGCTCCAGGATCCCTCCTTCCCTGCCCTCCGTGCCCATCCCCACGTGGGCAACTCCTAAACTGAAGACAAAGGATCTTCCTTTCTCCCAGCGGCCTTTCCTGTGGGGAATGGCCATCTCCCTCATGCGCGTTGCATGAGCCGCTGAATTCGGTGCGGAATAAATAAATGTAGCGTCCTCACATCCTACCCAGAGAGGCTGCAAGTGCTGCCACGAGGACGGCAGAGGTGGCAAACTGTGGAAAATCCTTGGGAATTGGCTGCTTTGGACCTCTCCCAGGTTGGGGAGCCAAAAGGGTCCGCAGGAGGGTCTGGCTCCAGCGCTCGGTGTGATGCACCCAGAGGAATCAACAGGAACCATTTAAATTGCAGACTTTAAAAGATACGTTTGTGTGTTAATGAGAGCGTTATAAATTATCTTCATCAGATAGATTCTTGATAAGCTGCCCTGCTGTTCACTCCTACCTGAGGGAATGCCCAGCAAAACTGGCAGGACTTTGCAGTGCCAAAGCAGGCTGAAAAGAGGCACCTGCCTGTCAAGCTCTGTGTAAATCCTGGTTGCACAGAGGTGAATCTGAGACCTCTGGTACGACTTTGTTTCATCCTCAGCTCCAAATTAGTTTTGTAGAGCAAAAAAAAATGTTTTATGCATAGTCTTTTCCACAGGTGACAGCAATGCTTTTATTTTTTTCCAGAACAACATCTGTTCTGTAATTATCCTCTCGGTAGGGTCATATTCTTATAAGAACCTTAGCAGGCACCGACTCTATTTGGGTGTTTTAAGTGCATCTAACTACCTCTAGTTAATTGCTTAYGATAAGGCACGGCAGGTCCGTGCGTCCCGTGTGTGACTGGGTGCTTCTTGTCCTGCTCCTCAGAGAGYGAGCCGCCCTCCTCGCTGGTGTCGGGGATCATCGACTACAACATGCCCCTCACCTCCACCTACCTGAAGCAGATGAAGCTGCGGGTCATGAATTCCCAGGAGCAGGTGAGTGGCGGCACCGGCACCACGGGTGCCGCGCGGTCCGGCCGGGATGGGGGACGGGAGGCGCTGGCGTTGGGCGCGTGTGATTCCCAAGGGGCATTTTGGAGACCTGCACAGGTCGGGTTGGGCGAGTGCAGTCACTGCTGCTGTGGGGGCGATCGGGGCGAAACGCGCGCGACGCTGGGGCTGCTTTGGCATCGGTTGGTGGAGAGGAGCAGAGGTGTCGTGGGGGCGGTTAGCGGCCAGAGCTGYCCGCGGGTTCTTTAGACATGCGCCTGTTTTGAGCAATTGTTCTGACGTTGAAGGCGGGCACAGGAACCGGTGGCTTTGCTTCCTCCRAATTGCCTGGGAGCTCTAGCAGGAGGTGCCTGAGCCCAGACACGGCTTCAGCTCCCCGGGGAGCTCCTGTTGCGTCGGCAGCCTGCCAAAGCTCCGCTGTAGCCGCTCTCCCTTCCTGTGTCCCCATGGGAGAAGGCTCTGTCATTGGGTAACAGCCTTGGGCCCCTGGAATTTAACGGGGACTGGGGGGAAAGGCTGCCACGCGGCCACTCCAGTGTTCAGGATTTCGGAAGTTCTGCAGCTGCGGAATTGACCGCGGGAGCCTTGGGGCACTGTGGAGACGGGTTACAAAAAGAGGAGTGTGTTTTCCCTGCTCACCTCAAGCCATCACTGAAACCCCGTGTTGGGCTTGCTTTCTAGCACCCTGAAACCTGCATCGGGTCTCACACGATGCCGCTGGCCACAAAAACCAGAGCAGCTCCGCGTGCGCCGGCGGGTGGGAGGCGGCGCCGGCAGCTCGGACCGGGCAGCTGCTCCCGGGGCTGGGTTTGTAAAACCGGTGCCAACCTGGACACGCATGTTGGGGGATCCGGGCTGCGCTGTGAAATGCCAGCTCCGAGTTTGCTGTCCGGAGCTGAAGAGATAGATACGGATCAGCCATTTCAGTAGGTCAGTGTTGCCTGAGGACAAAATAGCACCTGAAAGCAAATGCGTTTGTGTTTTGGACCTTTTTTACTTATGTGTGTGTTGGGTGCTTGGGTGAGTTTAAGGTTCTGGGCACTGGTTTATACCAGAGGTTTTAAGATGTGAAAACCATGTGATTTGAAAAGTTTTCCCCTGAGCTCAGGGTTCTGCTGTAGAACTATGGACAGCTCCACGGGACAAATCCTCCTTTCCAGACGCTCTGAAACGAGCAGCTTGGCTGGGAAAGGGGTGGCCCAATGCTGGATGCATGGAATCAATGGATCCAGTGCTTCCAGGTRTCTGATTGCTGATTCAAAGCTGCTTTTGCCTAGATATGATCAAAGCCGAACGTTTTCCGACTGTCATGAGGTTATGTGAAGCGTTTGCTGGGTCTGGGGCAACTCCTTGCAGAGAAGTGTTGAGATTCCAAATTTACTGCTGTATCTAACATTAACTATCAAGCTTTTCTCCCCGAGGTTAAGGACTTAGTTGCTCGTGGAGCTAAGCTTCCTCTTCAATATCTGAGGAGGTTCCCTCAAGTTGAGTTTGAGACACACAAAAAAGGCACCCGGAGAGGTTTTCTGATTGCCATTTACGCCTTTTCCACTGCTTGGTCGTGTTGGCTCCAAAGCTTGGTTCAAGAGAAGTGTACAACGAAGCTTAATTAAATTCCTGTATCCAAATTACAGGTGCAAAATTAAACTTGCAGTTCCATGTTGTCCTTAAAATGAAAAAGTCCCCTGGAAGCCAGAACAGTTAGGTCCAGAACCGGAGTTTAGAAGCTGGGCGTCGAGGGCTGCTCGTCCGGAGAAGTTTGCTGTGGTCGTTTAGAGGCTTGAGGAGTGCAAAGCCTGACTTTGTTTCACTCGGGCCTCTCACTGGCTGGAGAGGTGTGCTGTGTTTCTTGCAGCCGGCCCTGACGGCARTAATGGCATTTGTGGGGCGGGAGCACGCAGGGGACCAGCTGGGGCGGCCGGCAGTTGTTGCCTGAGACCATAACTCAACGGCTTGATTTGGTTTCGCAGCCTCTAAAGTTTTCCCCGTGYTAATCTCTCTTTGCTGCGTTGCAAWGCGGCTTTCTAAGCTTTTCAAGCTGCAGCAGCCGAGGGAAAAGGCTCTTTGGCAGAAGGCAAATTTGCCCTTCAAGGGATCGCTGCAAGGCCAGGGAGGCTCCAGAGCAGGAGCCGAGTGGCTCCCTGCGGGACACGGACGGGGGGACAGAGGAGCACTGGGGGACGGAGGTGCCACCGGCTCAGAGACACGGGGACACCCCTGGGGACGCTCTCCCAAGGCTCCTGGGGGATACAAGGGCCTCGTGTTCCGCCCGGCTTTTGCCAAGAGCAATTATTTGTACGTAGCAGCACCAGGAAGAACTTGCATCGCTTGGGGTAACGGCAAGTGCGTTTATGCCAAAGTGGCCTTTTAACTTCATTATCCAGGGAAACAATGTGCACCTAAGTGTAATTCACTGGTGCTGCTGAGCACACAGAGCAGTGTTAGGGCAGGGGTGTCCACAGAGCGGAGCACGGGCAGGGGAGCCTCCGAGGGCGCCCTTGGGCCGTGCTGGGGACGGGGCCAGCGAGGCGCGGAGCCCCTTGCAGGGCTCTGGCAAACGAGGCGGCCCTGCAGAACGCACCGAGCTCGAGGGCGAATCGCCACGTTGCAGGAAAGCGCTCGGAGCACGAGGGAATCCAACGATTTTCTCACGTCAGTGAAGATCAATGTATTTCTTGAGGCCTGCGCGTTTCTCCTGGCATGAGTGGGAATGGCTCTGACCCACGGCACTCGAACCGGGCTGCGAGAGCGCGCGGGGGCTGCGGGCCGGGAGCCTCCTTGCATCCCGCTCCTGCACCAGTTCTCACAGAGGTGAGAAAAACCAGCCCTTCCCCTGCGCACAGGGCGCAATCAGCCGTGTTTCAGGGTGTCTACCGAGGCAGTAAAGCATCCTCCCAACTTGTGACCTTTTCAATCTAGCAGAGAAAGGAATGCAAAGGAGGTGTTGGATGTTTATCTATAACGATCCCTCCACCTCATTTTCAAATGACAATTATTAGTGTTTTTAAATAATGGGGTGTGCAGGTTCCTTGCAGCCATTTTCCGGACGATCTTTGCTGTCTCCTCCAACCCCCTCCCGGGTTTATTCCTCACGCTCCGCGTTTTCCACCGCGGCCCTGGGAACCGAGGGGCGAAGCCAACAAGCCCCACGCTGAACCCGCAGCCGCAGCTCTGCGGTGCCCGGAGCCGCGTCCGGAGGCGCCTTCCGCAGCAGGAGGGCACGTAACGGGATAACAGGAGCCTCCCTCCCTCCCTCCCGTTGCTATGGATGTGCTGCGGCCGGCCCCGGCGCTGCCGGCTGCAACCGGAGCCGCGGCGGGACTGGGAGCAGGAGCGGGGATGGGAAAGCTCTTGTGCAAAGAGAAGGGGCCGTCGCGGAGAGGGGCTTCAGGCTAAACCCCCCGAAACGCGACAGGGAGCCGCTTCGCTTCCAACAGCACGAAAATTGCTAGGAGGTTGCCAGGGGAGGGRAGGATGGAGGGATGGATGGGTGGATGGATGGATAGGTACGTAGGTAGGTAGGTAGCTAGGCAGATGGGTTGGTGGATGGATGGATGGATGGATGGATGGATGGATGGATGGATGGATGGATGGATGGATACTACCCTAGATGAGCTCTCTCGAGCCTCTTGCAATAGCAGCCACCTAACACATTCCTCATGCAGAGCAGTTAAGAGCTTTGATTCAGAAGCGAAGCATCCTTTGTGCGGCCCCAATGTGCACAGACACTTTGTATTTTGGCATGTAGCAGATAAAGGCTGATTAATCAAAGTTCAGTAATTGTCTACAAATGAYGATGCCTTGGAATAGCTAAATTGGCCTTAGAAAAATCAATTAAGTTAGTGGAAACTTATAGGTTATTCTGTTCTGAGACTTGGATACAGATGTTTGCATTGAAGGCTGGGGAAAATATCCAATTACTGGTATTTAGAGATGAGGTGATTCTAAAGGTGCGAAGTTTGCGCGTGTTCTGMGTGGGTGAGAGCTGCGCCCAGGGGCTGCCGGTGCCCGGGGCTGCCCAGGGTCGCAGCCCACGATTCAAAGCCCCTGCCCTCCCGGGAGCAGCCCTCGCTGGGAAGGGCTGATCCATCCATGGGGAGGGTTTTCCCGGGATTTCGCTCTTCGTCGCAGGGTTTGGGGGTCTCTCGCACTGGGAGCGAAGCTGCTGGTACGGGGCGAGCAGCGGCTTTCCTGGCGCCCGCGAGACCCGCTCCACGTTTCACTCGTCCTCGCCCAGCGGCTGGAATTGCGCCCGCTCGGCACGAGCTCTTCCGGGTTCCATCCTGACGGGAAAGGAGAGCAAATTATAAAACGGGCTGGGAGATCTTGACCCAATTATGCTGAATCTGGGCAACCAGAGGATAATTCCAGCCAGCAACGCATGTGTGCCTGCAGCTACAAAAGCACTAAATATCCCYATGTCCCAGCATGGAAAAATTGCAGGAGTTGTTGGGGGCAGGAATCCAGGCAGAGGGCTCGGGATGAGAACAGGCAGGTTTTTAAAAGGAATCATGTTGGATTCTGCCATCAAGGGAGCAAACAGTTTTGGCCAAAAGTTCATCTGCCATTGGCAAATTGAGGGCAGCAGTTAAAAATAGAAAGTCATAAATGGAAACAAGCGGAAAAATTAGGAGAACTAGAGGAGAAAGCGCTCCGGCTGAAACAGTGCGGATGAGGAGGAGGCAGGAGCGAAGGGAACCCCCAAGGGTGCTGAGAGCCCCATTGCTGCCGTGATGGGTGTGCAGAGAGGCTGGGAGCCCTGGAGTGTTTCTGGACCCGCGAGGAAGTGGGATCATGTTTGTATAGCGTGAGGATGGGAAGCTACTTCCTAGTCCGTGAGCAATCAGATGGGTGCTAAGCACTCCAGAAATACACACCTCTAAAGCRGCAAGTCAAGGCAGCTTCCGTGCACAGGTCCCTTCCGTGCTTGGGAAGASCTTCGTTGGCCGAGGTTAATTTTTAATACATTTCCGAGCACTAGGAAG